AATGCCAGATACCTGGATTCTTGAGATATGAAACTACTTGGGTTTGAAATATGAGTTATTTCAGTTGTATTTGTTTATCCCCTTAGGTCTGAAGCATTTAAATAGTGTTTATGGTAGCCCCCTTAACCTGTAGGATATGTGTATAAATTTCATGGGATTGGTTCAAAACAAATGTAAACCTGTGGATATGTAATTTTCTGGGTAGAGCACCCAGAGCTTTGTTTAATAGGATTTTCAAAGAGGTCCGTTACTCATAAAAAGTCAAAACACTTAGATTACCTCATCCTTACTTTTCTTTTGATTACAGAGGTAGCCCTAAAATTTTTAGTCATCAGTTTTTAGGAACCATTTTATATACTTATTGTCAGCCATTTTAAAACTATTTTTCAAAAGCAGAATGAAAACGATGTGTACTTAGTAATGAAATATATACATGGGGAACAGAGACTGAGTCTTCTTGTCACTGACTGGCTACTCTCTAGTATAAAATTAGAGAAATGAATTAGTTTATCTTCAAGATCCTTCCAGCTCCAAATGTCATGTTTCTTTGTCAGTCCTACTGTTTGGAAATGTAGTTATTTTCCTATAGTGAAATTTTGCTGAATTGAATTGAATTGTGAGGTATCATTAAAATTCCAAGAGAAATAGAAAAGTTGAGGGTAACTAAGAGTGCCAGCAACTGTACTCACTAAGTGTTCATAAGTTTAGGCTATTCCTTTATCAAATTCAGATATATCTATTTAAGTTACATGTGTTAAAAAAAGTTTTTTATTCTTCAATAGGGAAGTTTGGTTGGTTTAGTGGATTATCCAGATGATGAAGAGGAAGATGAAGAAGAAGAAACGTCTCCCAGGAAAAGACCTCGTCTTGGATCATAAAATATTTACTGGGGACCCTCAACAAATGGTCTTACTGAAATGCTGCAACTGTTCAATGAGCTGAAAATCTGGATTAGAAAGCTTTCTCACTTGAACTTATAAATATACAGGAGTAGCAAAAGACGCTAAGTACATCAGCTAGGAGAGTTTAGTTCTGTAAAAAACCAGGCTTCCCAGGAACTTGATCACTTGCTAGTAATTAAGGGGTTTGCCTTTCAGGCTGTCAAAAAAAAAAAAGTTGGTAATGGGAACCTGGGAGATAGCGTCTCAGCTAGGAAACTCTCAGGTTTTGGCACGGTTTTAAGGGAGGGACAAGGTTGATAACAATGCAGGGTTGCTCCAGGGAGTATCGATCTAGAAATAATTATAAAACTTCAGTTGAAAACCTAATAACATTACTTGTATAATGGTGCTGGCCATGTTGTTCTTTTAATCAGTTGCCTCTTTTTAAAAGAAATTTTTATGGAAAACAAATTCAACTATCAAAAAATGAAGTTGTAAGCTGTTGGGACCATTTCTTTGAAGATTTAAGAAATTCAGCCTTATAGCTGGAGGGAAGTACACCCTGTATTATAGCACATGTTGAGTTTTCTACACCAGAAATTTTCGGTATGTATTTTGATGAAAACAAGCTGGATTCAAAATGGACAGTTTTGTTAATGTAACTTTAAAATCGGCACTTTTAGAGATAACAGATGCCGAGAATCAGTACAGTAGTGTTCCAAAATGATTTTCTCTAGAAATGGGAATAGAGTAAACAGAATGTTTTCAGCTGCCTACCAGTACGATCTTTTGTGGAAGATAACTTTGAAGTTACTTTCTGCTTTGTTAGTAAATTGTCTCTCCAGAGCTGCAGGCAAGTTTTAAACTGTAATTTGTAATGACTAACAAAAAATAGTAGTGAATTAAGTGATATTTAATATCTAGAAGCCATTTTGATCCAAGAAGTTACTTGTCAAAGTCGGTATGCAGTACATGAAACTTTCTCATAAACAAGGGTGTACTATGAAAGCTGCTTTTTTAAAAGAGTAAAAGCACATTCCATGTACGTAAATGAATTTAAAATAAGTTGAGGCAAACAGTTAAGAGGTTTTATTTTTAGAACACGTTAACTGTAAATATTTTAATGTTAGTTTGCTCATCTATGATCTGAGATCATGCTGAGAAAAACATCCCCAAACTACAATTAAATGCACTGGGAAAAAAAATTTTTAATAGTAATTCCAGCTACAATCTTCAGATCACCCTTGTAATGTGTTATGGGTCCATTTTTCTTGGAATAGATTAAACTGAAGCAGTTTTCCCTGTTTTGGAGATTTTGTAGTTAATTTTAATTTTGGCATTGTTTGGAAAAGATGAGCTGTCTGTAGATATGAAGTATAGTTTTTCCATAAAACAGATGTTTATTTTGTATTAAAAATACCACTGTACTTGTTTTACACCATTTGTATACATGTGGTGATATTAATCTGAGCTGTAAAATTCAGGAATTAAAATGTGACCCTGTAATTCTATGGTTGTTGCTTTTTGTTTTGTTGTAAATATAAGTTAACTCCAATTTGAGATATGTCCATCTTACAGTTATCTTTTAAAAGCCAATAAATGATCCATATTTATTATAAACCATTAGGTCTTACACTAATTTGAATGAAAGAATTCTAAGCGAGGGTCAATTGCACTTTAAATATCCCTGACTCTACTTATAGAAGGTGTGCCTTGGGCAAATAAAGTCCCAGCACCAAAGCTTCACAACATGGGGCTATTACCACCTCTTTGATTACAGGTACATATAATGAAAAAGACCTTCCACCTCATAAGGCAATGACTCAAGATAATTTAAACCAAGATCAGTAACATTACCATATGAATACATTTTATTTCAAGGAAATTTTATCAAGCCCCTTCCCTCTTAGCTCTTACTGAATTTCCTCCTGTAATCTAAGAAGCCCAGGCCTAAATCATTTCTCTATTTACTCGACTCTTCCTGATTAAGTAATTTTAAGTTCTGGTAGGAAGTTATTACCTTTATACTTATGAAGAGTTTCTTTAATTTTCCTTTCTGAAGAACTTCCATGAGTCTTAAACAGTTAAATCATCATTGTCATAGGAACCTTTTTTTATAGCAGAAATGTGAATGTTTTGTTGAATTATAGGATAACACTTTTCTTGGTACATGTGCTCATCCACAATGATAGAACGGGACTTAAAATATCCCTTAAAAGAAAAACTTATGATTCCACAGCTGCTCTTATTTAAATGGCTACCCTCAGGTAGATCAGGATTTTTATATCTTTATCTTCACTCAGTGAAGCAAGCCAGAGCCCACATTTGTATGCCTGAGGTTCTCTTAAAAGTATATCTGTTTACCCCAATAAACAATATATCTGTAAACATGTATCCAATATAAAAACTATTTTTAATAAAAAGTTACATGAAACAGATTTCTGTGTTTTAATCACTAGTTTTCCTCTTGTCCACTAAGTGACAAAAATGTAACAAATGTAAATTAACACTGGTTTTTCTCTGCAGGTTGAAGGTTGGAGCTAAACTAATTTTGGTATCTTTTAAGTTTACAACTGTAGAATGGAATTATAAGTTAAATTTCAGGATTGGTCCAGAACTAGAAAAAAGAGGATATGTCTGTGGAATGACACAACACAGGAAATTTCTGAAAGAAAGGATTTTCTTCTACTACAGACAGTCCCTAACTTATGATTCAACTTAATGATTTTTTGACTTCACAGTGGTGCAAAAGCAGTACGCATTCAGTACAAACCATACTTAGAATTCTGAATTTCAGTCTTTTCCCAGACTAGTAATACATGGTATGATACTCAAGTGATGCTGCACAGCAAGCCACAGCACCCAGTCAGGCACATGATCTCAAGGGTAAACAACCAATACTCTATAAAGTGTACTGTGTTGCCAGTGTTTTTCATATATTGTTTCCTTTTTTGCATCTCATCATGTCTACAAAACACTCATCTGTGTCTCCTGCTTCTGGTGTGAAGCAGAAGGCAGCACTTACTCTTGAGACGAAACTCAAGGTAACTGCCCAACTGTAGGCTAATATAAGTGTTCTGAGTACATGTAATCTGGGCTAAGCTATGATGTTCAGTAGGACATAACCCCGTTGTAAGTAAAGGAGCATCCATATTCCGGTTATCTTTTAGCAAACAGACTACAGAAAACCATCCAGGATCACTTCATATATAAAAAACTTGTTATTCATGACAGCATTCTCCTCAAAAGGCTCAGTTAATTGTTCCTATTATCTGTTTCAATAGTAGCTTTTCTAATTTGAGTATTTTTAATACCCCTTCCCCTGCCCCCATCTATTTTCCAAGTACTGTTTGCTCTTGCCTCAACTGTTAAGATGCTAAAATAAAAACTATCTTACCTGCCTAAGATAACTACTCTTATCGTTGAATTACCTTATACCTGGTACACCCACAACTATTCTAATTCACCCAATAGTCTCCATACAGCAGGCAGTCATCTTTTTAAAATGAACATTTTGATCATGTAACTTCTCTACTTTAAAACTTTTCAGTGACTTCCCACTGTCAAAATTTTAAATCTTCACTTTCCCTATAAGGCCCTACAAATCAGTATCCCACCTATCTCCAATTTCATATGCTAACCCTCTCTCCTCACCCAACACATACACTAGTCATACTGACAACTCCTCAGTATAATTTCCTGCTACAGGACCTGAGTGGTTTTTTTCACCCTTTCTCCTTGCAATTAGTCTTCCAATGAGCTTAAACACTTTCTCAAGGAGGTATGGCCAGCCCTGCTTGTAACACTGTACATTTTCCCTTCAAACATTTTGCTTTTGGGCCTCCATCAGCTCCATGAAGGCAGGGACCATGCTGATCTTGTTGGCTACTGTATCCTTAGTACCTAGCACAGTACTTAACAGAAACAATAGGTAACCACATTTGAATGATTGAATGCACTATCAATTAGTTTTCTATACTTCTCTCCACGAGACATTATTCATAAATTTATATTAAACTGGTCAGCATAACCGGGTGCCTTCCCCAACACCCTTTACCTTAAATATTTAATAGAGTTTATATTTGCATTTACAAACAGAAGTATCTGAGACTAATGGATTCAGTGTAAGGATTAAATAATTTATTTTTAGAAAATTTGAACTTCTGTTTTGCAAAATTGGTTTTAAATTTACTTATTAATAACTTCTTCTTTAAGTTTCTCTGCAAGCAATCTCCTCTTTAGCAATGTTTGCTTCTCCTCTGCTGTCATTTCTGGTTTCTCTGTCATTTCCTTAAAAAGAAAAAAAGAAAAAAAAAAATTGGCTACAGTATAAGATGGGTTCATTTGTCTCAAATTCCCAACATGCTTCCTCAAACAAAAAGAGCATTTTCAGTAAATAATTTTTTTAAAAAAGTCACACATGGACTGAGTTTCCTTAATCTCTTTGTAAAAATCTCTCTTCTTGGGGAAGCCTGTTGGAGGTGGTTACTAGGATGCTGATGCTGCTCTCTGATAAAATATTTCAAAGGCTCAGGTAAAATAGACTGCTGACCCTTAAGCACTCAGAGCAGGGAAAGAAATAATAAATTTATCATGAAACTGCTATTATTTCTACCTCATAAAATCATCACAACCATCTCACTTTCTAGAAAAGAGATTAGCAGGTGCTACACTAGCAGGGAGGTAAATTATGAATGGATCAATGAGCAACATTCATTATCAAGGCCTTCTTGCACATACTCTGATTTTGAGAATTCTATATTTGCAAATTTGACATACTAAGGCTAGACATACCTTTACCTCACCAGCAGGTTTTCCTTTCTCTTCCGAATTTTGTATCTGCTTAGTCCTCATATCCTTTCTCATGGACATTAACTTATCTCTCTTCTGCTTGAGATAGTGTTCTCGTTGCCGGAGTTCTTCTGTTCCAAGTGTTGATAAATTCTAGGTGAAAAAAGAGAAGGAATTATTTTAAATTCAAGTCTGTATAATAAGTGGCACAGATACCCAGTGACTGATACAATTAGAATTTTGAGTTCAAGATCAAAACAAAAACCAAGTGAATGGCTGTTGACACTGTTTGTTCCTAGTACTGTCACTTTGCTCATTTCTTAAAAAGTAATTTTTTTTTTTTTTTTACTTACTGCTATTGGTCCTTCAATGCTTGCATGTTCAAAGCCAGGAATCTTCAGGCCTTTTTGTGGAAGGGTGGAAGTTTCAGGCAACATTTCCAGCTCTCGTGCCAAAGGTTGTACTGACTGATTAGCAAAATGCACTTTAACTTCTGGCAGTAATTAGATAGAGACCAGTTAGATTATAATAAATATTAAGTATTAGGCTAGATTCACCAAAATGAACTAGTATTAATAATACTTGTTTTTTTCTCACATCAATTCAATCAACACACACTGATTCAGTGCCCACATTGTGCCAGGCCCTGAGTGAGAACAATAAACATGGTCTCTCGCTTCAAGGAGCCTGAACTACAGTTTCTTATGTATAATGACATTTCAACAAATACCAAACTCCTGCTATCTGATACTATAATTCTTATCTAAAGATTAGAACTACACTATAATGTAATACAGGTTTCAACATATGCCAAATAAACAGCACTAAAATCTCTTACTAAAAATGTAATTGATTTCCATACTTCTGTTTACAGGCAAAAACTGTAAGCAACCCTACATTTTCAGAACAATTAATTTAAAGCTATGTTTTTTTGTAGCAGAAAAATAAGTTCCAGTAATACCAATAATTTTTGTAATACATATTGAAGATAACCAACCTACCAATACATTAAGAATAAGTAGAACTTGGAAGCAGATATAACATGAGCACTCAGTTCTATCCAGTTTTTTAGTGACTATGCCAAGAGACAGGATTAACATGCTAACTGCTTTTCTGAGCCATTTTTATTATGATAGGTGATTTTTAAATAAAATAAACCATTTTCAGTGTAAGTACAATGGACTATGAAAAACAGCAGAAATAAGCAAAGACTCATAAAAATGATGCCAAGAACTAAAGCATGATAGGAGAACATGACATATATCTTTCCGAATGATTAAAAATTTTCCCAGCACAGTAAAACCTGAATTCTACATGAGCAAGAAACCTGCCAAAGGACCAGTGTTCTAGCATGGGGTGAGTGGACTAACTGCAGTGCCAGGGAGGTTGGAAGAAGAAAAGTTCTTCAGATTCTTGGACAGTATAGGGAAGTCCCCAGGAAGAGGTGAGGCTGGCGCTTGAACAGTCCAACCACTGTAGACAGAGAGCTACAGAAATAAAGATGAGCTTAAACAAGATGGTCCTAATATGCAAACAGAGTTAAACATGCCATTCTTTGATGGTGACTTTAAGCACAGGTAGGCTTAGCACCCAAATGTGGAACCAAAGAGCTGGAGAAGGGATAATTCAATTCATTTCTGAGGCAGGGGATCCCAGGCACACAAGCATTTATATTCAATTCACATACTTGCTTTGGATAGTTCTGCTGTGAGTTAGTTGGTATGAACATCTTGTATATTCTAACTCAGACCTAGACAGGAAAGTACCTGAGGCCAAAATACTTAGCCTCCTGATTTCTAGGAATGGAGAATCAGAAAGCCAGCAAGTTTAAAGAAAGATCATCACATCTCTTGCAACTCTGTGTGTCAATCTGAGAAGAGATGTTATCCATTTCTAACAGGAATCTGAGAAAGACATGAGCAAAAGATAAACAGGAAGTCGAACACCTTTATTCCTCCTAAATTAGGTCTTCATAATGGACTTCTGTTACTTTGTATGAAGTGATTCCTGGAATATCAGATACTCTTTAAAAAAGATAGAATATTTTTGAAAATTAAAATCATTACTTTTGAAATTAACTGTCATTTGTTCTGTGCCACTAATGTGTATAATTGAGTTATACATGGTTTGAGATAAAGTTTTCTATAGCGTCACTTAACAGATAAGGAACTAGGAAAAGTAAATTTATTCAAATTATGTCAGATGCAAAATTTAAACAGTATATGTGCATAGGCCTATATAAAACAGTTAAATTTGGGCCAGCAAATTATAAAAGAGCTCAGACAAATCTAAAGCAGGTGCTTTCACAGACATAATTCAAATGAGGTTAGTCTACTCAGAATCTGCAGAATAAGAAAAAAAAATGGTTAAATTTGCGAGGAAGTAAAAGGAAGGAAACTTCATAAATCTGCTCCTGTTTCATATGTCTCATTGTTTGATCGACTAAGTATATAATTCCTTAAAATCAATGGGTAAATATCAAGCACATCTTATCTCAATTATAAAAGTTCTTCTACAGTGTAGAAGAACACAAGATTTGGAGTCAGATGACCAAGATAAATCACGGTTTCAACATTTAAGAGTTCAGCGATTTTGGACAAGTTACTCAATTTCCTTGAATTTCTTAAAAAAAAAAAAAAAGGAGGAGGAGGATCATAACATCTACCTCACAGAATTGCTTTGTTTAATCAAGAAAAAGATATTTATTTAAAACCATAGAACTCCACAATAAAATGAATGGAATCCATTCATGATCATCATTCCATTTCTATTTCAAAATTACTTATTTTTGTATAAAGGAAATCAGAGTATACTGAAAGTGGATTTGCTGCATATAGAACAAGTTCATCTACTAACATTTCCCACAAGGATTCTTTGATTTTGCTTTCAATAATAGTTTCTAAACATCTGGATAAAGTGGCTACCTCTTATTTTCTAGTTATGCTTTAATCATTAGGAAAATAACAATATTATCTCTCCAAGTTCAGCTTCTAATTTACAAGCACCATATAATTGTCAAGGAAGAGAATATCAAATGTTATGTGAACCTATCTTGGATGCTACAGCTGTGGCACCAAAGGCTGGTGGCTCCCTCAAGGAATCTGCGCATTGCTCTGGGTTCCAACTTCACTTAGAAATTTGGGGACTACACTTTCCCTGTCTATTGGGTATTTTCTATCTGCAACTTCTTTAGCTAAATTCATGAAGAGCTTTAAATACCAATGGCCATTCAATACTCCCTCCCAGAGGATTTGAAGGTTAAGTATGTATTAAGAAAGTAACACATTCTTTACAATGTTTATGTATTCATATTATTAGAGAAAGTTTAGTAACACTTCAGGCTTACCTGTGGATGGATGTGCAAAATGTTCACCATCCCCTTGAGAATTATTCATTTTTGTAGTTTCGTTAGCATGCATTGGGGGTTCTTCTGTTTTAGCCTCTGATAACTTCAGGAGCCCAAAATATAATTTAAAAAGACATTTTAGGTTAATTTTGACTAATTCACTACTTAAGGGATCCAAAGACATTGAATTACAATTTACTAAATAATAGACAAAAGATTCTATTTTTCCAAAGTTTTTAAGATGTTTCCAGTATTTTATATCTTCTACTTTTTGAGGTAGGTAAACATTCTCATTTCAAATCATGTAGTGCTAACAGTATCAAACTAGGACTTTAGACTTAGCAAGAAGTGGGTTCAAACTCAAGCTTCACCTTACTACTCATGTGACCTTGAGCAAGACACCAAGAAATACTATAAGAGAAATAAAATCACTGAATTATAAGTTGCTTTTCCACTAGATATTATCTATATCCCACTACTACGATATTCCTGAAGCCACGAATTGGTTTATTTCCATTTCTAAAATGGGATAGTACATTTAAACTAAAGACATCATTTAAATCCTGGAAGGAATTAAAGTAAACTGATCATTTATTTTTCCTTAAAAACAGAGGAAAATCCATGCAGCTTATTAGGTAATTCATGAATATCTAAATCATAAGCCCCTATATGCTGGGTGATGGATACATGAAAATTCGTTATTATTGTCAACTCTACTTTTGTGTTTAAAAATTTCCGTAACAGAATTTAAAAAAAAAACCATATGCCCCTAAAAACATATTATTCAAGAAGCCTCATATAGTTTGTTTATAAATTAGAGAGTTAATACTACTGTCTTCTGATAAGTTTTAAACTGGTTTCTGCTCTATACCCTTATATAAAAAAAAATATTAATATCTATGAATTTACTAAAAGATGATTTACTCAAAGATACATGAATCACCTCTTAACCCTAAAACATCTTCTTCTTCTGCTCTTAACTGGGTGCCTTGGAGTGAAACAGGTTTTTTCAAGACAGTGAATGATACAAGCATGTATTATAGTGACTGAAGGGGAAAATGGAAAATGACTTTCAAGTGATTGAGTTTCTATTAGGTTTCCTTCCCCTTCAGGGAGATTTAGGAAAATGTGGAGAGAGAGGCATGTGGAGAGAGAGGCAGCTAGAAGAGGGCAGAGGTACCTCAGCCAGATATATTTATAATTTTTCCTTTGAAAAGATTAGATACTTTATGGAAGTAGTTTTAATGGAGAACAGTATGGCAGGGAACATGATGCTGAATCATTCCGCTTCAGGCTGATAACCTTGAAGCCTGCTGGGACTCCTCAGTAGTAACTGCAGTTGCTGTTACAAAACAGTAAAGGAATCAAGGCGAGTGGGAAAGTAAAATATTTTTCTTAAGCTTCTTTTATTTGTAAAATTAAGGGAAAATTTTAAAAGGAATCCCCTAAAATATGAATGGTATTACAGTTTTTTGGAGTTAATAATCTGTCTTTATTGGAAATTTACATGTAGGTTGCTGGACGAATTATAAAGTGAATAAAGTTATAAACTTAAATATAAATGCTTAGAATTGCCAAGATAATATGAATAATCTGAGGAATTGTGTAGTTCCACATTAGCTTAAATTTTAACAGCAAAAACCGAGTGTCTTTTTAAACTTTAGAGATAACAGCAATGAAATACTTCTGTTATATGAAAAGCACCTGCTTTTTTCTCTTCCTTTCTTCCTCTTGGTCATATTCCTCTTTTGATTTTCTGAAATATAGAAAATAAGGTAGAAAAGGTAGAATATTCGACAAGCAACAACTCACCTAAGATTATAATATGTGCAAAGAATTTGGGAAACAAAGATGGAAATAAACAGGCTTTGCTTAAAGCAGCTTACAGTCAACTGAGAAAGACATACATAGGCATATACAGCATAATTAGTAACATAGTAACATAAAATACAGGTTTACTCATTTCTTCTAGAAATGTGAATGACCCCTAGCTGAACAAAAATCAACAGGTGTGAAATCCTAAATCCAAATTTGAATGGCAAATCCCATTAATAGAGACTTTGACCTCACTCTTTAGAGAGATGAGTTACATCCCTTCCAATAAGATCCATTTCTCCCCACATTCTAGTTTTTCCAGTGGCACCTGAGCTTTCACAAAGCCCTCCTGAAGTCATTATGCCAAAGCTCTATTGGCTTTTGTAAACTGCTCACTGACACAGTCTGATTTAGGAACATAGCCAGGACAACTCTCTTACGCATTCATAACTAAGCTCTACTACTTATACAGTAGTAAACTACCCTCCAAAGCCCTTGGAAAAATCTAAAAGTACAGTGTTGATCATTTTCACACCACCAATCAACCAACGAAAGCACCTAGTACAAGTCAAAACTTCACCAGTCTTCTAAATCTATTACCAAATATCCTTACCTCTTTAAAACTGCAAACTCAAGGTTCCCATTTGCCCCTGCCGTGGAAAGTAGGATCTGGCAGGAAAAGGCTGGGTTCAACCCGCACACCTGCCTCCCTCCCCAAAACCACTCAAATCCCCTGGAATTAAGCAGTGAGTCCTCGAGTGCCTTCCACAGTTCCCCACTAGGCCCATCCTCTCCCTTCACTTTGGAGTTGGGAACAAGGTGGGAAGGTGGGTAGGTGGGGGAACAACAGAATGCTAGGAGATGGCCATGTGTGTGGTTACAGCTAGAGAAGAAGGGCCCCCAAAAGCCAGTGTTCTATCCTGCAGGCAGCACAGGGGCTGCAGGTATCCTTTTGCCCTGAACTCACACATTCTCACAGGAGATTTAAAAATTAGGTGCTGCAGTTGCCTACCTCTTCTAAAACTCTCATAAGGGTCAGGGAAAACAGGCCCAAGGGAAAAAGAAATGCTTTAGTGGGCTGCACACTCCATGTCAGGCATTTGGCTGAGAATCATGGAACTGGAGACAGGAAACGACAGTCTTCTGGTGCAGGCACCTCCTACTGTCCTCTCTCCCTTGTTAGGTGAACTGTCACCCAGTCAGCTATTCAGTCTGTGGAATCTGGATGTCCAGCTTCCTACTGTGAGACATGTGGCTTGAGCCACCTCCAATACAGAAATCCAGAAGCCATGGAGTTTCCTAGTCAGCTCAGGCCACTACACCCCTTTCTGGGCATCAGGTTAGGTCTACTGCATCTTGTTCTCACTTGGTTAGTTTCCTATTCCCATGATGGAACTGGAAGAAGAGCTTCCCATTTGGGTTAATCTGGTATGAGTCATCTGAAAATAATTTTTTCTGTCCATTAAGAAATGTAATATATACGTACTTATAAACAAACAAAATAAATCATTTTCATGGTCTTCAATAGAGAATTTAAATATTTCACTAGTTCTAATAATTTGGGGGCAAAAAGCATACATACAGATATTATAATATTATAATGATTCATTCAAAAAATAATTAAAGAAGGATACCTAAGAACTTCCCTCAGGATTTTCATCTCTTCCTGTTCAAGGTCACTGACCACATCAGAACCATCTGTTAGGCAGTCAGGTAATACACCTGTTCAAAACCAAAGAGCACATGGAATAATATCAACTCATCTGAAAACATTTCTTTCTCACTATCCTAGTTCATCAAGACGTACAAATTAACTTAAAGATCTGTCACTTAAAATAATGTTCTAAGCTATTACTTTTTAACTATGGTCTTGTTTTAGGGAATCAGCCCCACCAAAAAAAACAAAACAAAACACAGTTTTATCTAGAAATGTCTCTTATTTGTATTGCCTATTAAAAATAACAATTATATATAATGAAAATTAATATAAGCTATTATCCTCCATAATCATATACTGAGTATATACCACTGAAATCAATAAGCTCCTAATAATGACACTATGCTCTCAAAAGCATCCCTTAAATGGGAAAAGAGTTTATAAAATAAAATGTAAAACAGTGTTCACTGAAATAGGACATTAATACTCTTCATTCATACTACAACAAATGCTACTGAAAAGAGCCCTGCTTACTACGCAAAAAAGCTAGGTGCTAATAAGCACTTAGGGGGAATATAAAGGTGAACAAAACAATCTCTGCCCTCAAAGCTTCTATGCAGATATTGGGCTAATAACTATAAACCCGGGCAGAACCAACTTCAGCCCAAGGCAAATAAAAAAATTCATGGCAAGTAATTTTAAGTTGGTTTAATTTGCTTTATCACCTATATCTTCTTGATAAGCAGGTAGACTGGTGGTAAGTGTTCAGTTCATATCCATAATTAATATATTCTAATGATATCACTAGCATGTCTCTTAATTTTTACCATCTATTTCATTACCCACATATGACTATAGGTTTTGGATCTGCTCTAAAGTAGCTTTACTATTCTAATCCCCGATGTTTTAATGTTTTAATTAAACTTTTATTTTGATATAATTGCAATTTTATATACAGTTGCAAGAACTAATACAGAGTGATGCTATGTACCCTTTACCCAGTTTCTCCCAATGGTAACATCATACAAAACTACAGTACAGTATCACATCAGAAAACTAACATCTATACAACTCATCAATCTTAAGTACATTTTTGCTAACTCAAAAGATTTACAATTAGTATTCTCCTAATAAACTTTGTATGGAAAATGAAAAGAACTAAGGAAAGAACAATGTAACAGTATGTAATACTTCAAAACCATCAAAATAATGCTCTGATTTGCATTCTTTGATAAGGTACAACCAAGGATCCAGACAGCTTTTGAATTTTTCTCACCACGAAGACAGTTTGTAAGTCGTCTGCAATTTTGAGTATATCGGTCTAAGGTCCTTTCTCCTCGATCTAAGTTAAGCAACATTCTTAAATACATGTATTAAAAGTTCTATGGCAGAAACTCAGTATTAGTTTATGTTTTAATGTAAGTAAACTGTCCCACCCTGTGGTTTGAAGCAGCATCATTCCATATTATTTCCTTCCCTTACTAATATAAGCCAGGTTTGTGCAATTATCAGGCAGCTAACTACTTTGAGGCAAGGTTCTGCCCTACCTCACCCCACCAGAGTGACTTATTATTGGTTTAAGCTAGTCATAATGGTCTCATTCCCCTGCTGAAGGGTTTAATAAAAGCATGTGACCTAATCCTGATCAATAGGACCTATGGGGAAAACTCCTGAGGGCCTTCTATGAAAGTGTTGTCTTGCTAACAAAAAGAGATGTACAGAAAGAAACATCCCTTTCTTCATGAGATACGATTGAGTCTGCATTCGATGCAGCCAGAGTGCAATCATGAGAGATCTTGAGAATGGGAGAGTATAAAGATGGAAAGTGTCAGCAACCTTGATAACATTACTGAGCCACTAAATTAACCAACCCTGGACCTCTCTTCCTTCCCTCCCTTCCTCTGGATCTCTTGTTCTGTGAGATAATAACTTCCTATTGCCTAGGCCACTTTCATTGAGCTTTTCTGCTAATGGCAGCCTGAGGCACCCAGCAGATACAAGCTATATATACTTGTTCCCTTTCTATTAAAATCTAAATGAGTTTCCAGCTACATTTGAAACTGAAAACTATAGAGTGCTAATTTCAAGTTTATTATTTCTTTTATTAAAAGTAATCCCCCAAAACAATTTTAACATAAAATAATTATCCAAATTCTCTATTCTATAGGTCAGAGTTTCAGAAAAAATCATAATAATTTTATAAAGCAAACTATGGTAGAAAGACAAAGAGAAAGAGACTCTTCCAAACTTATTTACACTAAAGCAACTGCACAGTGTCATGCATCATTCAGGGTTAAGGTGGTGTCATCTCCTAGCCACAGACAACAGCTCTCTTACCTGCTGTGAAAAGCATCTTAGGATTTTAGGGGATAGTTGTGGTAATTGGCTCAAAGAGAAAGAGTCTCTACTCACATCAGACAAATGAGAGAAGAATCCACAACAAGGGCCCTGCCACGTTCTAATGTTTGCCCTGCAACAACAGAAGCTCGATTGCTGCATGTTCCAGGCCCTTAAAAGCAAACAGTAGAACTAAACTATAACCCTCATATCTTCAAGAAATAATCAAAGAAAGGGTCTTGCTACCAAATCATTGAAGAGTACAAACAGTAAAGAATATCAGGAGCAATCTACTGAGCAAAGAACACGTAGGTTATTAAGGTCATGTTACCAAAGCCAGAAATCTGAAACACAGATAATAATCTGGGTTGAAAAGGAGATGGTACAATAACAAGAAGTATGGTTAGAAATTCAGATGTCAAATATAGTTCAAGTGCACAAGAAAGGAACAAAAACAGAAAGCGCTAGAGAGAAACTGAGATTAGGTAGAGTCAGATAAAAGATAAAGCCAAAGTTACTAGGGCTTGAGTTGTCTTCTCTTCCACCTGATGGTGGCGCAACCCTATCTATCTATTGCCCTAGAGCAGTAGTTCTCAGTGCTGTCCCAGGACAAGCAGCTTTAGCATCACCTGTGAACTTGTTAAAAATGCAAAGTATTAGGCCCCACCCCAGACTTACTGCAGAAACTGAAAGAGAGCCATCTGAGTTTCAATAAGCCCTCCAACTACTTTCAACACTCACTAAAGCTTGAGAACCACTGTCTCCTACAAGAGCCTTAACAATGGAAAGTCAGAATAGGAATAGTCACGTTCTCTAAACAGTAACTGTGACCACTCAAAAATATTGCATTTCATAACCACAATGGCTGGGCAGAAAAATCAAGCTCTCTGAAACCTAAAACATCATTAAATCGAATTCTGGTCTGCCTTTGAGATGTCAAACACTGATCAGAAAGTTTACACTCCTGAATCTCTTAAGTCAGCCACAGACTTTTCAAACTTGAAATAAATTTATTCAAGGCAGCTACATTTAAGAACATGTTAGAATCAGAATAGTCAACACTGCAAAAAAAAAAAAAAATGCATTTAGCACTTAGATTTAAAATTCAACATTTCACCATTTCTCTCTTGAATTATTCGAATGGCTTGCAGCTGCATTTCAATGTTTTTCTGGACCATCATTGCTTTAAAGATAGTAAAATCTTCTGCAGCCAACACGGGTTGCAAAATGGCCTGTGGAAAGAAACCTGGAAGTTAAATGAAGATTCAAGTTTTAAAACTACAAGTATATCTCAGTTTTATTGCACTTCACAGATACTGCATTTTCACAACATCGAGGCAAGCCCATCCACCAACACAAAGATTATGACTCACTAAGAGAGGGCACAGATGATGGTTAGCATTTTTTAGCAATAAAGTATTTTTTAATTAAAGTATGTACATTGTTTTATTAGACATAAAAAAAGTATCTGTTTTTCAGCCTAATCTGTTTGGTTTATATTCTGTCACATGAAATTAACTGTTTAATGATAAATCAGTAAGTATGAAAGTATTCCTTAATTAATAAAAGTACCAAATGAAAGTAAATGCCAAAAATGGAGTATGGAAAATAAGTGAAATGAGCTATTAGTAATGTGAGAATGCAATTGTAGTTGTCCTATACATAGAAAGTTTCATGGAAGAGGGATAGTTAGACATTATGATGTAAAATCATTTTCTGTATGAAACTGAAGTATAATAAAATTAGAAAAATTAAGTAAAGGTATATACTCTAGGGTACTCAAATTATCATTTCCTTAACTATAGAGAACAACTGCTATATCAAAGGGCAAACCAATTCCCAAGCTAAAAAAAAAAATAAGTAGAATAAAATTTGAAATACAGGAAAACACAAAAGAAAACACTCAGATTTTATCCATCTTACTAAAATCTTATTTCAAGCTTTACATGGTATTAATGGAAAAGCTGACCACTCGTGCAGTCAGCAAAGGGTGTGCTACTGTTCACCAGGTAGGCAGCATCAATAATGTCAGAAACACCTCAACAAAAGCTCCATCAAAGAGCTCTAAGCAAAAAGGAAGGAGCCCTTCCTGCAGCAACCAGCTCACATCCTAGACAACCACAGTATAGCAAAACAAAGTGCAAAAGCAGCTCTCTATGACATTTATAGAGTCAACTGAAGTGGGGAAAAAAGTTTCTTTTCCATTAAATTCACATATACTGTTCAAAAGGCCCATGGTGGGGATGGCAAATGAGCTTCATATGTGTTTGAAACTTGCAGCCCAGATCTCAGTATTGAAAACAATAGTGGGCAGCCTCTGTGCTAAATTAGTCATGTCTGTCAGGGCCCCTTTATGGGATTATGCCACCACATAACTTTGTTCTGGGGCTTCCTCGACTTCTTATTAGCAATATCAAGTACATCATCCTCATCATTAACAAACACTTGAAGGGCATCACTATTGAGGGCAATGTGTCAACTAGAGCTTTCAGCAAGTCAGAGTTTGAGTTAATACTTAAAGGTATAATGCAGGGCTTCTCAAAGTGTCTTCTCAAATTGTGTTCTAGGATACAGGAAAGAGGGATTGTTAAATGCATATTCCTGAGCCCTGTCCTAGACATAATGAATCTAATTTCTGCCCATGTATCTCCCCAGATAATTCTTATAACATTAAAGTTTGAGAACCATTGACACATTGGGAAAGAATGAGCCGTTGATATCAAAAGCCCACTTTCAGCTTTAATGAACTAGCTATGTGACTCTGGACATATCATTTAGAGCTTCAGTTTCTTCATCTGAAAATTAGTATAATAATAATAACTAATAAAGTATTTTGTTGAATCTAAGACTCCATAGATTCGTAAAATAAACCATTATTTCATGTGCCAATAAGAAAAAAAAACCTGCCAATTAAATTATAGCAGGCCATCAAGTATAAAATGTATTCTCATTACAGAGATATTATGATATGAAAAATTTGCATTTGAGAATAAAGGAATTACAGTAATAACTTTCTGGCTAGGTGTTAAAATTAAAATGAGAAAGTACTTTTTAAACTGAAAAGTACCTATGAAAGTAATTGTTCTGGCCCTTTTGAGGCCAGTTAAATATCAATGTTGTGCTAAACCTAAAACGTTAAAGTAGTCGGGCTCTTCTGCTCCAAAGAAATGGATCACGTCTCTCCTAAGAGCTTCCAATAAGCGCAGGTAGAAGAACTAAATATGGGAGTTACTAAAAAAAACTTGCAAGTAGTTTATCCTTTAAATTAACTGAAATGTCAAACTACTTTAAAAAAAGATTATGAGATAAAGCAAATGCGATGTTATCTATGTTTGCGAAAAAAACATTAATAACAAAATGAACACTGAGTCTTTAAGAATGACTTAAATAAGTTTAAAAGACACTCAAACATACTCACACTTAGCCTGAGGTTACTCTATTATTATCTCTGCTTAGAGTTAAATCATACCATAGTTTTTAAAGGTACAAGAGATTTCATGCACTTATGCTGTTCCACTAATAGTCAGAATTGCAAAGAGAAATAGATGAATTCACTATTATAGTTAGAGACTTCAATATTCATTATCAGCAATGAACAGATTTAGCAGGCAGAATATCAGTAAGATCATAGTTAAACTGAACAGCACCTTCGGTCAACTGGATCAAATTGACATTCCTCAAACAACAAAAAAAATACATGTTCTTCTCAAGTTCACACAAAACATTCACCAAAATAGACAATACTGGACCATAAGACACATCTTAATAAATTTAAAAGAAGTCATACAAAGTATTCTCTCAGAACACAATGGAATTAAACTAGAAATCAATACAGAATGATAGCTGGAAAAAACCTAACATACTTGGAGAATAAACAACACACATCTAAATAACACATGGGTCAATGAAGTAGTCATAGAGAAAAAATTTAAATGCTTCTAAAAAGACAATACATCAAAATTTGTACCAAAGTAGTACTTTACAGGGAAATTTATAGCATAGAATACATATTAGAAAAGAATATTTAACATCAATAATATAAGCTTCTACCTTAGAAACTACAAGAAGAGCAAATTAAACTCAAAGTAAGAATAAAAAAGAAATAATAAAAATTAGAGAAGAAATCAATGAAATTGAAAGCAGAAAATCAATTAAAAAAATTAAAAACTAACAGTTGATTCTTTGAAAAGATCAATGAAACTGATAAACCTCTAGCCAGGTTAACTTAAAAAAAAAGAGAAAGAAGACATAAATCACTAATATAAAAAATGAATAGGGGACTTCAGTATAGATCCTATGGATATCAAAAGGATAATAAAGTAATATTATAAACAACTCTATGTCCACAGATTTGACAACCTAGATGAAATGGACCAATTCCTTGAAAAACACAATCTGCCAAAACTCAGACAAGAAGAAATAGATAATCTGAATAAACCTATCTACTAAAGAAAAGGAATCAATAATTAATACCTTTCAAAATAGAAAGCACCAGGCTCAGCTAGGTTCACTGGTGAATTCTACTATTTAATGAAATATACTAATTCTCTACCAAAAAAAAAAAATTAAACTCTGAAGAAACATTACAGATTCATATTATTTCTTAAAAGAATAATGATTAAATATTTATTTGCAGAAGATGAATAGCATAGCCTACAGAACAGATGTAAAGGTATTTATACCGATTCAAGTTAAAGAGAAAAAAGGTATAACTTGGAGGTCCACTATGGAATATATAACTGACTCAGTTTCTATGCTATTTTACCACCCCTCCTTGCAAGATTCAGATCAGCATATACATGTATTTGAACATGCATGTGAAAAACTACACTCAGATAAGAATCTTTCAAAAAAAAGAAATTATACCAATTTTCTACAATCTCTTCCAGAAAATAGAAGCAGAGGAAGAGTACTGTTTTTGTTCACAGACATGATTTTCTGTAGAAAATCCCATAGAATTAAATCAAACAAACTAAAAAACCTCCTAGAGCTAATAAGCAATTATAGCAAGGTTCAAGATATAAGGTTAATATACCAAAAAAAAAAAGCAACTGCTTTCCTATACACCAGCAGTGATCAGTTGGAATTTGAAATAAAAAACACAATATCATTTACATTAGCACCACAAAATAAAAAGAAGTACATAAGAATAAATCTAAAAATAATATGCACAAGATGTACATAAGAAGACTCAACATTGTTAGCATGTCAATTCTTCCTAATTTGATCTGCAGATTCACACAATCTCAATCAAAATCCCAGCAAGTGCTTTTGTAGATATCAACAAACTGATTTTAAAATTCACATAGAAAGGCAAAAGACCTCAAATAGCCACACAATACTGAAAAAGAATAAAGTCAGAGGACTGACACTAGTTGACTTCAAGACTTACTATAAACTATGACAAATCAAGACAATATGGTATTGGTGAAAGAACTGATAATGGAAAAGAATGCAACCCAAAAACAGACCAATACAAACTCAGTCAGCTGGTCTTTGACAAAGGAACAAAGATAGTCGAATGGAGAGAGGTTCATCTTTCCAGCAAATGGTGCTGGGAACAACTGGACATCTACATGCAAAAAATGAATCTAAACACTGACCTTACACCTTTCACAAATAACTCAAATGGATCATAGACTTAAATGTAAAAAACAAATCATAAAACTTCCATAAGATAGCATAGAGAAAATCTAGAGAACCTTGAATTTGGCAATACTAACAATACCAAATGCTGACGAAGATATGGAGCAACAGGAACTTCCATTCATTGCTGGTGAAAATGCAAAATGGTATATATAGCTACTTCATTTACTTATTTTTTCAATTTATTTTTCAGTTACAGTCGACATACAATATTATATTAGTTTCAGGTGTACAACAGTGATTGGAAATTTATATACCATATATGTGATCACCCCAATAAGTCTAGTACCTATATGACACCATACATAGTTATTATAATACTATCGACTATATTCTCTATGCTGGTACAGCTACTTTAGAGGAGAGGTTGGCAGTTTCTTATAAAGATAAACTTAATCTTACCATATGATCCAGCAATCTCGTTCTTAGATATTTACCCAAATGAATTGAAAACTATGTACATACAAGAGCCTGAATACGAAAATTTATAGTGGCTTTACACATAACTGCCAAAGACTTAGAAGCCACCAAAATGTTCTTCAAAAGGTAAATGGGTAAACACAAACTGTGGTACATACATATAGTGGAATATTATTCAGCAATAAAAAGAACTATTAAACAAAAAATAAACAGAGGAACACTAAATTCATATTACTTAATGAAAGAAGCCAGTCTGAAAAGGCTACATACTGTATGATGCAAATATGATGTTGTGGAAAAGGCAAAACTAGAGTAGGTAAAATGATCAGCAGTTGCCAGGGGTTTAGGGCAAGAATGAAAGGATGAATATATGGAGCACAGAGGATTTTTAAGACAGTGAAATTATTTGCTACTGTAATTGTGGAAACATGACATTATGTTTGACAAAATCCATAGAACTATACAACACAAAGAGTGAACGCTATTGTAAACCATGGACTTCAGTTAATAATACTATATCGATATTGACACATTAATTTTAACAAATATATCACACTAATGAAAAATGTTAATATTAAGAGACTCTGTATTATCTCAATTTTTTTGTAAACCTAAAACTGCTCTATGAAAAGGCTATTAATTTTTAAGGCTCTTACTAGCACTCATACAAAATATTGTTAATTATCCTGTGTGTATTTTTAGAAAATGAAAGTTACACCATATGTGTAATCTTTTCAACAATCCAAGTTACTGGGAAAAAAAGCATAATTTTCCCAAATTACTATTATTACAAATGTTTCTAAAAATGTTAATGCAAAATGGTATAGCTACTTACCATGATCTACCTTACAAAAGTCACAGCAAATCAAGAAAAAAGAAAAAAAGAAAAAATATTGTTTGTTTCTTGCCATACATAAGTCCCTGGCTTTTGCAATACATAGATATTAGTGATGAGTTCTATCTTCACCAAAAAATCTTAAGCAATGAAGACTGGAAAACACCACAGAATTACAAAATTCAACTGAAAACAACTGAAATAATAAATACCTCAGTATTTATTATATTGTCATATTTTTCTGAATGGTTTAGAAAGGTATCCTGAGTCACAAGCATTTTTAAAGAAACCACACATATATACTGGAAGAACATGCTCTTAAAAAGGTTTGTTTTTTTTTTTTTTTCCTTTTCTTAAACTAGAGATTTTTCATCTGATTATGGTCATTAAATCCCTTACTACTACTGCTGCTGACTTTAATACATAAAGAGTATCCAGGACCAACGGTCTAGGCCTAATGATGACCAAACCAGTTGAAAAGAATTTTCCAAGCTGGCTTTAGCAATACAATTCAATAGGAGTGGGCAGCTATTTTAAAAATCAAAATCAAACCAGGCAAACCACAACAAAATAAAAATTACGTCCTAATTTACCCAGGGCAAGCAACTGGTTTCTTGAGTTTGTTCTTAGGCACCCCATATTGGCATAATGGACTTAGCATTGTGATCTTTATGTATACAGATTACATGACTGCTGCATAGCTGTGCTTTGAGCTATTTTCCTGGTAATGGTGATGACCTTAGGCTGATTCAATCATGTTGCTATTCAGTATCTGGTGCTAAGAGTTTGCTCTAGAAAAGAATAAAGCTAACTAGTCCACATGGGGATTGAACCTATGACCCTGGCCTAATTAGCACAGCGCTAATCAACCACCAAAATAGCTACCGATAATTAAGAAGCGCTTCCTTTTATAGACCACCTTATATATGTCAGGTATTGTACTCAATGTTTTATGAGCTTTATCTCTTAAATTGCACAAAAATCTTTTAAAGTAGATGCTATCCCTATTTTATGGATATGGAAACAGAATCAGTAAGGATAAGAAAGGAAAACTGTAAAATAATTTTTTGTCTGAGGTCTTACAGCTAGTAAATGAAAGATCTAGAGCTCAAATCTAGATCTGTCTGCATCAACAGACTTGCCTCCTTGTACCAATGCACTCCAAATAAATTAAAAGGTGTTGAATAACAGAACAAGAAAGAAAGATGTTATTCTTGATCTAAAAACAATATTTTAAAATTCTGGATATCTTCACTCACAAGTAATTTAAAGTTATCCTGATAACAAAAGCAAAAGATGGATGTGTCTACTATTACTACTATTATTGTGAACATCTTTATTCACAAAGCAATTCAGACTCATTAATTAAGAGACTGACAAATATTAAGCAAAGCAGAAAATATTCTTGAAAAACAAGGAAAATAAAAACAAATACCAATGTCTTAAAGAAATTTAAAAACCAGTTAATAATTTTCAATCAATTTCTTCCTATTCCACTAAAAGGAAGAAAATAATGCCGGTCTTTATTCCTTAAACTAAAACTATGGTACATATAGAATAAAAGCTATTGGTGAACTGTAAAACAACTTTTGTTTTATAGAATTATTAACTAATAAAATCATGTTTGTTTACATTATTGTGGGAATATCAATAACATTTAATCTTTTTAAATGTCATGTTAAAGATTTTCTATCTCTAGAATTAAAGGTGATCATTCAATGAGCAGAAGTTGTACAAAAGAGAAATGTAGAAGGAAGTGCTGGATTAAACAGTCAAAGCAATCTCTTCTAAACCACAGTAAAAAGATAATTTAACAAACATTTACTAAGAACTACCTACTAGGAACTAGGTTTTCATCTCTGTGCTAGATGCTGAGAATGCAAAGGTACTAAAAACAACTCAAAGAATCTACAATCTAATAAGGCAGACAGACTTAGAAGAAACTATAATTCAAGGCAGAGTACCAAAAATGTAGAAGTGCCCATTGAGGCAGAATGAGGACTTAGAGGGATCAAGGAGGTGAAATATTTGGTGATGGAAGGAAATTTAATTTGGGGTGGTGAACACAAAATGCAATATACATATGACATATTACGGAATTGTATACTTGAATCCTATTTGATGTCACCCCAATAATTTTAATTAAAAAAAAAAAAATAGAAGTGATATTTCAGCCAGGCCCTGATGATAAGGATTTTTCTGGGTAAGGAAAGGATGGTGGGGTTGGGGGGAAGGTAGGGGCCAAACATTCCAGAGTAAAGGAATTAGCATCAGCAAAGCCAAGTGCATGGATGCTTATAAGAGTCAGTGGGCCTGGAATGACTGTAGTAGTGTAGTACGTAATGTATTGGAGAACTATAACAGGAGAATAAGGCTGAAAATATAATTTGGGGTCACATCATAGACAATCCTATCCTCTAAGGAATTACATAAAGTTCATTTGGTAGAAGCTGGAAAGCTCAATCAACTCTTTGAGAAGAAAGCTATTTGGGTAGTAGTAAAGTATCCCTAGCCTCAGCCTCTGCTCTACTACTACCCCAGCTCTACTACTCACTTAGCTGTAGATTTTGCACTAGTTGCTTAAAATATTTGTGCATAAGTTTTCTCATTTCTAAAGAGAAGTAAAATAGTACCAATTTCTTAGGAGTGTCAGGAAAATTAAATGAGATAATATATAACAAGTGTTTTGATATATATTAAAACAGCAGCTAGACTGAGCCCTCAGTAAATATTGATTATAAATACATGATATTTACTTCAGCCCAGCACTGTACTGCAGAACTAATAAGATAATAAAAGTAGTTCCAAGAGATTGAAGCCCCAGGAACTGTGTACTGTGGATCTGCTAAGATTAAAAAAGGGGCAATTGCAAAACTGTCAAGAGATCTATGTAAATAAAACAGTAGTTTGGATAAACCCTGTGATCTATTATAGTTCTGAGTTCAGAAACCTTTTTAATTGCATTAGTTCATTAATGCCTCAAATTATCATTACTAAAGGTAGTTATAAAAAAGAACCCATATGTGATGAATTAGCTTTTCACTCTTACAATGTCTGGAATATTATACTTTGACAATCAAACATAGCAAATTTAAGTAAAATGCTAAGCATTTTTTGTCAAAACTATGTTAGCAGAATAACACAAAAGCAAAAACCTGTGATGTACGGGTCTTTGCAAGAGGAGAAGTGCACGCTTCTTGAAATTGATCTTCATTAATTCCAATTTCTTTGAGGTAACTTTCTAACAGCTTTTCAACCTAAAAAGAAAGTTTAACTTTTATAATTTACATTAAAAAATTCCAAATGACAGTTTTTATGTTAAGTACTGAGTTTAGAGAAGTATAATCAAATGCTTGTTTGCAATTATTAATCTAAATATAAAATTATGCTACATGGCAGTGACAACGTCTTTGATTGAAAAAGCAAACAACAAAAAGTTAAAATTTTTGAAGAGTCAAATGAAATTTTATTTCCTCTTCCAGAAATAACTGAAGTAAGGATTATGAAGTTTGATGATACAACTCTTCTGCTACCCAGAGTCATTTTTAAAAATCACAAAACAACCATGACTAACAATAATTAACGCTTCCCTGGATGCATCAGCAGAAAAATAAGAATAAAATTTAAAGATTACATGCAAGATCCCTTAACATAGTTGATCTAAATACATTCCTTAGATTCTAGAGAAGAGATAAGAGAAGTCATAAGGATGAGATGCTCAAAGAACCCTTAGAGCCTGATTGCAAATGGTAGTATTATTAAGGTAGATGGAACTTTTTTAAATTAAAAAATTTTAATGAATAAATCCATTTTTTTTAATTTAGAAAAGCTAAAATTAATATTATTCTAATTACCTTTAAAATGAGTAAAAAAATACTCACTAGTTCTTTGTATTCCTGATGAATCTCTGTATAGGTCAATTTGCTTTCTTCTTCATCATCAAAAACTAAGTTTAAGAGAAAAATATTTCATAGTGTAAAAAGATAAATCTTTTCCTTAATGCAAATATAAAAGTCCACTCTTTATGTCTTACAAATAGATATTTGTACCTGTACTTACAAGTACATATATTTGTATATGTGCATGTATATATAGTGTTAACTGTAAACAAGTTATTTTTCCTACTTAAGATCTACTTCATGTGTAAGACAAACACTAATTTGCTACTTTTCAATCAATATAAGGCAACGATTTCTTTATAAACTTTTATTGTCGATAGTTTTTAAATATTAATTCTTTTTACAACAGGCTCCAGATTATTTTATTGTACTGGACTTTTGCTGATGCAAATTTTACTGAGAATGACTAGGACATTTTTGTTACATAAAAATCAATAAATAAAGAAGTTAAAATAAATAAAACCAAAACAAATGTTTACTGAATGATCATACATGTGAAACAATGTAGATTAGAAAGATGTACACTCCCTCAAGAAGCTACAACCTAATTAGGGAAACAGGACAAATTCATGAATTGTAAATAATAAACGCTTTTTGAATCTTCCCTTGAATCATCTTTCAAAAAGACTACTTTCTGAAAACTAATAAAACTACCTTTTTACAAAACTAACTTTTGTAATTTTGGATTTAAAACTCTTCAATGACTGCTCTTTGCCTAGAAAATAAGTACAAAATCCTTAGAAGGCCAGACAAAATCCTCCAAGACTGGATCCTAAATCTCATCTCTCATTACTCCAAAACCCCAACTTTGCACTCAACAATACAAAATTACTTGGAATACCACCAAATATAACACACACAGTGCATCAAACCCTCATGCCTTTGCTCAAGCCAGTCCTAGATTTTTTTTGCTTTTACCTGGCCCCTCTTCTCCCAACCATTCTTCAAGACACTGTAAGTGGCACATTCTTCATGACCTGCTGCTACCCACTCCCAACTCCTAAGCTGGTTAGATCCTTCCTCTGAACTCTTATAATACAGCACCATGTCCCTACCTTTATTATGGCAACTGCTATTTTATATTTAAAGTACATTTATTTGCCTTTTTTCCCCACTAAATTATAAATTTCTCAGGCACAAAGATTTTGTTTTATTCATTTTTTATCCCCAGATTCTGGCCCAAAGACACTCAATAAATGTTTGTTGAAAGAAGTGCTGTTATCACAAAGTTGTACGAAACTAATCTTTAAATTATCTGAGGTGGAAAATTGCACACTGACAACCCCAAGTCAGTGAAGTATAAACACTGTTATTTCAAGTGTCACTGGGATGTTACTTCCATTTCCTCTGGCATCTGCTGTATATAACACTGGGCTTACATGCAAAACAGAAGCTGTTTTCAGCTAATTCTGAAATCAAATTACTACACTACATGTTTAGAAGGTTGACGATTACTGCTTCCCTGTAAAATTACAGGTGCATTATTACAGAGGGGCAACCACTTTAGATGTTTGGGGATAAAGAGAAGAACAATGTTTAATATTTTTCCATTTCAGCATCTAGTCTCCATGGGGGTAAATGAAATCAAAAAGCGACAATTTCTTTTTTCTACTAAAGGAGGTCAGAATTCCACATGCTTCATCACTCTCACAATAGCATTTTAAATTCTTAAAAAGAGCACAAATAAGTTACTTTTAACTTCTTAAATTACCTGTATAAACAATATATATTATTTGAATTTTGATTATAGCAGTGAGAATGTAATGAAAAGATTCAGTGGTCAACTAAATTGCATCTCTATCAGATTCATGGAAACTTAGGGATGAAAGGATTCTTAAAAGGTCATCCAAGATAACCAGCCACTTGATAGCTGAATTCCTCTATAAAATCTCCATTTAATTACTGTCAGATCCATTCAAACACTGCTAGTGCCTGGGAGACTCATTACCTTCTGAGGCAAGCTAATTTATCTGGGATACATTGTTAAGAAACACTTTCTTTATAGAAATTTGTTTCCCTGTAGCTCGTACCCACTAACCCTAGCTCTATCCCACTGAACTTTACAAATCTAATCCCTCCAACATAAGACAGAAATTCAAACAATTCATGGATATTACTACCCTCAAAGTCTTGCCTGGCTGAACAACCACATTCATTCAGATGGCATGGTTTCTGGGTCCTTTTCTGCGAATGGGCTCCAATTTGTCTCCAAGGACTGAAGGCAGAACTCCAACCGTGAACAGATCAGAACCTGGAGGTGCCTTTCTCTCACAAGAAATATTATGCTACGTTTATATACTTAATTTAACAGAAGATACCCCCCAACAACCACCCATTTTGGTATAACCGAGGGTCAGTAGGCTCAATAAAGAGAATACACCGGGATCACCGGTTCTGGGCCTGCAGGAGTATGCACAGGCCCCTCTTTGAGGTCAACTTTTGGGATCAGAAGGAACTCAGAGGCAAACTGACACCTCTCTTCCTAAGTCACTGGGGAAATTGTTGAAGAAGCCCACCCAAACAGTGCACTTGCCCAGAGCAGAAACGTGCAGGATGGGTATGGGACTCAACACAGGATTAAAGTTTAATGTTTTTTCGACGTGTGTTTGGGCCCTGAGGGAGGGCAGTGTCAGCCCCGTTTTCAGTCCCGTGAAAGAAAACATTGGCGTAGTGACAGCAATAACCTCCTACAAATCAGCTTTAAACCTGCCCGATAAAGGTGGAGACCTAAGAGACGAAGATGTTTTGTGGGGTCCACCTCCCTGCTGACCGCTGGTGTGAGAGAGGCGAGGAGAGATTGTCGCTTAGGGCTCTTGGCTTTTACCTTCACATCTCTGCTCCACAAAGTCCAAGATGGGGATGGACCAGTCCGGCCCTCGCAGGAACCCCGCGATGCTCTCCACCACCCACTCTACCTCATCTTCTTCTTCCGCAGCCATCCTAACCCCGCGGAGCGCCGCAGAACCTTAGGCCAGATCCCCGGAGCCTATTAAGACCTTTCGGCCGCAAGGTGCCTAGACGGTGTCGGGAAAGAAAAAGCTGGCCCCGTGGCCTCCTCGCCAGCTGGGCGAAAGCCGCAAACCAGTTAACGTAAAATGGTCGCTATGGCAACACGCGCAGCCGCCCTGGGCAGCCGCCCGGAAGTGAAGCCTGCTTTCCTGGAGCCTGCGCATTTTATAGAGGGGCTTTTGAAGAACGTTTCCGATTGGCTGGAAAAGAACAGTAGCGGATCAAAAGATACCCTTCCGCCCATTGGCCTAGAGTTGCTGGGGCTGAGAGTAGAAGTGTAGCCATTGGCTGGAGGACTCTCGACGTTCCCTCTTCAGAGTAAGTGCGTGGAAGCTGAGTCTTAGCATGGCGTACTGAGGTTCCGGTAGTGAGCTGGTCTCCGACTAAAAGGGCTTCAAGGGCTTCGAATTCAGCTAAAGTGCCAACCATTTTCAGACCTGCTGGCCCAGAAGCGTTTGTAATCAAAAGGTTGTTTGAAAATACAAAGCCAAGCAAAATAGCTTTGTGAAACTTGCTGATTGGCTCTGCAGCCTTTGCTTCTTGTAGCTTGAGATAGGTCTTTAACCTTTCGTGCATAGGTAGAAAAAACTAGAATTAGGAACTTTTCAAGAACAAAATCAAAGTTATTCATTTAAATAAATGTTTGCTTAACCAAATCTTAGGTCAAATAACACCAAATCAATTATTTAGATGGAAGTCCATACTAAAGGTGCTTGGCGTCCCAGAATTACCTTCAAACAACCTTGTTTACGTAACGGGTCATTATATGCACAGTTACGGAACATTTTTCACTTTTAATAAAGTCATAGTTTCAGATAAAATATAAAACTCCATTCCTTAAAACTGCATAGTGTTCTATAAACTACCGTTTAGTCCATTTTTATTTTGTGTATACACACATTATCTTACGTGGTTGTGTAAATGTGATCATTAGTGTACAGTTTAAAAAATTCCCTTGATGTAGGCGTACTGCACCATTATTTAATTCTGCAAACTGCCGAAATAAACATGTCTGTGTCGCTAAGAACTGTTGACTTTGTTGGCCTTTCCAAGTAGGTAGATGCTAGCAGAATTGCTAAATGAAAGTTTATATCTTGATTTATTTGACCATTCTCAATTGCTAGATTAAATTACTTCAATTTTTAAACTCATTAATAGTTCTGTAATGAACATACTTGCACATATGTTTTTGAATATGAGTCTCGTTTCTTTTTAATAAATTCCCGAAGGGAAAATTACTAAACCTATTTTTTTAATCTTTTTTTAAAAATGCCTTTTCCAATCTGCTAGGTTAAAAATGCGTAATTTTAATTTACATTTTAAAATTTGAGGTTGAGTACTGTTTCATATTGACTACCTTGTATTTCTTCCTGTGTTATCTTTTCATATCCTTTGACCATTTCTTATTGGGATATTTTTTTTTTTCTAAATGATTTGTAAGAGTTTTACACATTGAGAATGTTAACCCTTTGTCACATGTTATAATTTGACTTCTGATTTAGAAGATTTTTGTGTCTTTTACCATATAGAAATTATACATTTTTTATATAGACAAAACGAGAGGTAATAAGTTAATCATTTTCCTTAGTGGATAGCCATGTTCCAGACACTGTTTGCTGAAAATGAGTGTGGTAAAGTGTTGTGATTTTTTTAATTACTGAGGAAAGGGAAAAGGCCACAAGGATATCATCTCTAGACTAAAATAATGTGATACCAGAGTTGGATACTCTGGTTTGTTGTTCTGTTTTTCTGTTTCCTAAACCAGCCTAAAATGGAAATCCCACATTTGTTCTGAGAATTTCCTCTTTTCATAAAGAAGTTGCTTGTATGGTTTCTACAGAGCCTAGAGGCCACAAAGTGCTATTCAACTGCATTCAGCATTATTTGGCATTAGAGTCCTTATCTGCAATCTCTTCCAAGTGCTTTCCAATTCCACTAGACACAGATGATTAGTGGGATGCACAAGCTCTTTTTTCATTTATTTTCTCAACATTATTCTAAATGTGAGCAATGTGGGTTCCCTCAGGCCTATAAGTTCTCTTTATTTATTTCAAAACATTTCGATTTTCTCCTAAAACTTAAGACTTTTCTTTTTATTCACTACTTGGGATTCTTATAACCAGGATGCTTATATAGGTTTAATATGATGTATTCAATATGTTTATCATGAAATAAACTCAGAAGAACAGTGCACACCGTCTTAGGGCAATGCACTTGGGTACATTGGTGTAAGAGTAGAAAGATGAGGTACGTGGGTGTTGTATATTTTGCCAGAACTCTCATTCATTCAGTCAGGTAGTGGTTTTCATGTTTTGCAATAGTGCAAACATAGTCATCTCTTGAAAAATCACTTTGCATTTTGTCAGTTTTATTGCTGTTTACTACATATGAACAAATTTTCACATTGAGGATCTATGTTGTAACAGAAGAGACTGAAATAGATAACATATATACACTACCCGCCCCACACACACACACATATCCACAGTACTTTTACCATAAAGTTGATAAGAGGTTTAATGTTTGGTAGTAAATGCTAAGTAAATATTAGCTATTATTATTATTATATATAATCTAGGTTTTGTTTTTTTTTTTAAAACAACTTGCAGCGTGGGTATAAGAAACCGTTCTCTTTATTTTGCCTCACTCCTTTCACTGACAAGTCATTTGTATTCTTTACTGCAGTCCTACTGAAATCTCATGTTTCTCCCCATCCTCTGTGTGAGTACTGAACCTCTTCCTTAGTAAAGGGTTGAAATGTCCAATCTTAATAATATGACTGTATTCCTCCGGGTTTTTCAGGGACCATGTGAATAACAACTACTCACATTTATGCAGTACTTAATAGTTTAAAAATCTGTTTGACTCAGAGCAACCTTGAGAGCTAGGTAAAGATGGTATTAAAGTTTTCTCCCATCTTATAGGTGGTGAATTAGTTTACTAGGATTGCTGCATCATAGATTGGGTGGCTTAAACAACAGAATTTTATTTTCTCATAGTTCTGGAGACAATGAGAATTCTGAGATCAAGGTGTCAGCAGGGTTGGTTTCGTCTAAGGCCTCTCTCCTTGGCTTATAGATGCTGCCTTCTTGCTGTGCCCACATGATCTTCCTTCTTTACCCACATGCATCCAAATTTCCTCTTATAATGACATCAGTTGAAGGAGATTAGGATATGATACCCCCTAATATGCCACTTTGGTATATTGATTGTTTTGAGCTGAAGGCAGCTGAGAAACAGCAGGCACAGAAAGAGCTCTCTGCTCTCCCCCTACCTACATAAAAGGAGAACATAAATTTCCCATGAGAAAGGTACTGTCCATATACCAGGAAGACAAGATGAGAGGAGAGCACTCATCACTGGCAATGAGGAGTCAATACTGAGATGAGTCTGCATGAACAGACCTTACTAAAATAATCCTTATCTTCTATTAGAAATTATCTTAACCCCTTCTCATATATTTCTTAATCACTCTCACACAATTTATTAGTCCTAGGAGCCCAAATCCTCTTTCCTTTGGCTAGCTACTTCTCCACAATTTATCACCCTTTGATAAAATGGTAAGTCCCCAAGTCTTTCTGTTCTTTGACTTTTTCACTTCTTTTTCTGTGAAGCCCCCATACACATAAAATTTTAAATATTAATAAAATTTTGTGCCTTCTCTCCTGTTAATCTCTCTTTTGTCAGTTTAATTCACAGGCCCCGGCTACTAAACCAAAGAGGGTAGAGAAAGGTTTTTTCCTTCCCTACATAGTCATATTGGATTAGAGCCCACCCTAAAGACTTCATTTTAACTTAATTACCCCCTCTGAAGGCCCTGTTTTCAAATAGAGTCAAACTCTTAGGTATTAGGGCTTAGGACTTCAACTTATAAATTTAGGGGGACACAATTCAGCCCATAACAAATGAGAAACTGAGACTGAGGTCAAGTTTCTTGCCCAGGGTCAGACAGAGCAAAGTTAGGGCTTACATTTCTCTGTACTTGATACTTAAGCAACATGGTAACTTCCTATTTTCACTTTATAATACATCACAGAAATTTTCCTTGCCAAAACATTTCTACACGATCCTTCTTAATTTTCCTTGCCAAAACATTTCTACATGATCTCAACTCAGGCTGCTGTGATAGAATATTATGTACTAGGTAGCTTATAAACAAATTTATTTCTCACAGTTCTGGAGGCTGAGAGATCTAAGATCAAGGAGTCAGCAGATTGGTGTCTGATGAGAGCCCGCTTCTTGGTTCATAGACAGCCATCTAATCTCTGTGTCCCCGCAGGTAGAAGCAGCAAGGAAGTCTTGGGTTTCTTTTATAAAATCACCAATCCTATTTATGAGGGCTCAAACCTTGTGATGTAATTACTTTCTAAAGTCCCCACCTCCTAATATGATTGCATTGGGGGTTAGGATTTCAACAATTTTAGGGGCACGCAAACAACTCACTCTATAGCACCTACTTTTCCATTGTGTAAATATAACACAATTTATTTAAACAAGCCTGTATTGATCTAGGCTGTTTCTTACACTATTTAAAAAATAATTCTACTGTGAGCATCATTATAACTAAATCTTTGCACCTAATCTTTATCATTCCAATAAGTAGAATTTCTAAATCACACAGTATGCAGTTTTTAAAGACATGTGTACCTATAGAATCATTTTTTAAGAGAAAGTATTGTGCATTCTGTAATAATCATGGTTGAATGTTAAGTAATTCTTTTCCATTTTATTATTGTTTTACATCCATGAGTCTACATATTCATACTCACACACAAATATATCTTAGATAATTTAGATTTAATCAAGAGAAGACTAGAAAAATGATTGTGAGTTCCCCGGGAAGCATACTCTTTAACAAATGTATCTCCAATTTCAACACAAGACTTGACACTAAGAGAACCCCAAATATTTGATGAATATGTAAATGGTGATCTCAGTATATACTGCCTCACATTTGCCTACAAATAATCCATTTCTCTTTTCTGCCCCTGGGGGAGAGAATAAAGGTGTGACTACTGGCAGAGCAAATTTTTCCTTTTAACTTTAACAAAAAATGCTTGCATTCTAGATCAGATGGCTTAAAGTTATTATTAGCAATAGGCCTAAAAATACTGATTCAATGGAAGTGTCATTT